TTTTTTTTTTACTGAAAATAAATATAAACATGTTTAATATTTTTTGTAAATAAAAAATAGTAAACTATAAATTTTTCCAAACAGCACCTAACATTTCCTTTAGTTTAAGTGATTTGGAGAGAAAAGAAAACAAATAGAGATAAATGAATTGCAATCCCTTATTTGGATTATTACATAGAAAATAAATGAGAAGAAATGGAGAGAAATATTTCTCTCCTAATCCCTATTTTCAATCTCTCCAAACATAGAGATAAATGGAGAGAAATGAAACTAATTAAATATTATTTTGTTACAATACCAAAATTACTATTTTAGATATAGAACAAATAAAAAGACTAACACCTATAAAAAAAAGTTAATTTGGTAATATCATATAATATCATATCATATCATATCATTTACTTTTCTTTTCTTTTCTATAATTTAACCAAACAATATCAATTCATTTCTTTTCTCCCTTATTTATCTAAGCAAAAAAGAAAGAAATCACCATCTTTTATTTTATTTTCTCTTAAAACTTATTAAGTCATTTATTTATTTATTTTTCCTTTCATAAGGTACCAAACACAGTATTTCTGGGCTTCATTTAGGAGGTTGGCTGGGGACTAAATTAGTTAATAAAGACAAAAATAGGTTAACTTAACCAATATGATAAAATTTTACTTTATAATCATTTCACTTTTTCTCTTACAAATATCAAATCAACTACAAAAAAGTCAAAAGTTTATTCCAAATTGAACTTTTTTAACCAAGCTAAAATAGTCAAAAAAATAAAAAAACTTAGACTAAAAAAATTTAAGGATTTTTATTGATAAGTCCAATTTAGAAGTGTTTTAACCCAAGAAGTCCATAAAGGAATTTTTTAACCCATTTAGTCTCATGCATGTATAGTTTTATTCCATAAAGTCCATTTTCTTGATTTACACTATTTTCTTGGACACTTATGCCCTTATATTTAATTTTGATACCCTTATAAATATTTTTTCAACGATTAGCAATTTAATGTTGTGAACATTTATATTTTAAAATTCACATTTGTAGAAATGTAAATTGGCCCGTGGGCGGTCCGAAACCCGCCTGCGAGCCAGGGCGGGCCCGGCCCGTTGGCAATGTGAATATTCACATTGACATGTTAAAATTCACATTAATAGGAATGTAAAATTGGCCCCCATCCCGTGGCGACGCGAAAACCCGCCCACGGCTCATGGGCGGCCCGGGGCGGGCCCGGTCCGGCCCGTTCACAATGTGAATATTCACATTGACATGTTAACATTCACATTGATAGGAGTGTAAAATTAGCCCGCGCCTCGTAGCTGCCCGAAACCCGCCCACGGCCCGTGGGCTGGTCCGGCCCGGCCTATTGACAATGTGAATGTTTACATTGGCATGTTAACATTCACATTGATAAGAGTATAAAACTAGACAGCAGCCCAGGGCGGGCCCCGTCCGGCCCGTTGATAATGTGAATATTCACATTGACATGTTAACATTTACATTAATAGGAGTATAAAATTGGTCCCCGTCCCGTGGCGGCGCGAAACCCACCCGCGGCCCATGAGCGGCCCGGGGCGGGCCTGGTCCGGCCCGTTGACAATGTGAATATTCACATTGACATGTTAACATTCACATTGATAAGAGTATAAAATTAGACAGCAACCCAGGGCGGGCCCGACTCGGCCCGGCCCGGCCCGTTGACAATGCAAATATTCACATTGACATGTTAACATGCACATTGATAGGAGTGTAAAATTAGCCCG